CTCTCAGTGTTCTACATTTAAATTCATTTCATTTGAAGTTTCCAAGCCTTTTAAGGCAGCTGCATATCAGAGATTTATTTCCTCATTCATCTTCTTTAACGTTTAAGTCATGTTTAAATGTCTTTGTCAGGATATTTTCAAGATCTCCATCAACACCTCAGACACAGGTGAAACTAGTTAGCTAACCCAGAGACAACTGTAATCTCTTACTTCATTAGCTTTTACAAAACAATATGGAAACTCAAATAGCAGATGGCATGCAATCAAGGAGCAACAGTGGCCTCAGCTACATCTGAGGCGCTTTCACACCGGAGTACTTTTCCCGTTTAGTTCCGATAGTTCCCGGGATTTTGCGTTCACACCAAAAAGAGAACTTAGTTCATGATAACTTTTACCCCCTTTTTAGGGCCTGCTAGAGAGGTGGTAAAAAGTTCAAATTTCTGATTGGCTGGGAGAGAGACTAATTTATGGCAACACAAAAAAAAACATGGGAGCGGTGGAGATGAGGAGGTGTCGGCGTTCTGGCGATTTAGTCGGAAGCCAGTCCCCAACTCCGGGGACTTCCGGCCGGAGACTTCGGGTGGCAGTATACGCCGTGAAGTTGTTTCCGGCCTGCCAGTAAACCCAAAGCAGAAGAAGAAGAGGTGACGTCAGCGGCTTCATTTGTGTAATCTTCCCTCAGGGAACTTATTCCGGTGTGAACGCGATCGGCTCTTAGTTCCATGGGGGGTACTAAGTGCTGGGAACTAAGTGCTGGGAACTAAGTGCGGCAAAGTACTTGGTGTGAAAGCGGCTATTTGTGTGTACAACTCACTTGTTTTATTTCTTCAGATGTTTTACAGAAGAACTCTGCAAATGAGACCAAGGCCGGCTCTGAGGTGAACGTAGAGATGGCTTCAGGCTGCAGAAACACACATAAGAACATTTCACAATTATTTTAATGAGACAGCACATGAATAAAGTATAGAGAAGCAAGGGAGGTTACAAAAGAGGAAGGTAGGGAAGAAAAGGGTGCCAGAAAAGTTGGTCAAGACACTGAAGAATGAATGCATAAAAACAAAAAGAGAAAGGGGAGAAGGACACAGACAAAGACAGGAATAAAACAGTAATGTTTTGTTGGTATCCCTGCAGACCAGCAGGTGTATTGACAGCTCACACTGAGGCCATCAGGAAACCAGTAATAATCTGTCAAACACACAGCGGTCTGCGTTACTTGTAGTGACAACCTGCCAACACCGGACACATCCAGCCACTGGAGAGGGGCTCAGTTAAGTTCAACTCACGTCTATTTATAGCTGGTTATTACTGCAGATTTAGGTTTTTAAATGTCTCTCAAACCCAGGTATATGAAAGGCAAAACAAAGGGCATTTCAGACCTGTAGTTTGTTTGACATCAACGACATGTGAAAAAACAATTCACATTGTTAGTGATAAACTGTTCGATGTAATCTATTCTGAAAATGTGTCAGAACATTGTGACGGCCGTCACAGGAATTCAGGTTTGTATTGTTTTGATATAATTAATTAATTATCTGTATTATTACAAATTACAATGTTTACATTGTATAATAAAGCATATACATGTAAAATTAAAGCTCATATCCCTCCATTTCACTTCCTGTTTCAAAAGTGCTGATTTGGGGTATAAAGCTTTAAAAAATCAAATAAATTGTTAAATAAAAAAAAAAGGAGGGGCTGAGCTCATGCGGGAGATTCTACCGGCAGATACTGCCGTGATGAAAC